TGGCGTCCAGAGTCCCCAGGTATAAACGATTGGCCAAAGCTGGGGGCAAAACGCTCAAACTGGTCCAGACGGGCCTCAAGCCTGGTATGCTATGGGGTGTCGGGGTTCATGGCATCAGTCATACTCATCTACTGCGGGCTCGGCAGCTTGCGCGTGCTGGTTTTGTGCATAGGCACACTGGCAGATCTCTCTCGCTTGATCTCATGATCGCAGGCCGCCAGGTCGACCCAGCCTACGAGTGCAATCGTGGGCCTATTCTACTCTGGATGCGTGCTCTATGGGATGTTTGGGCGGTGAGATCCGACATGGCGCGTCTTCTGGGCGGGGCTTGGGCTCGTTTGTCGGTGCTTCCTGAGAACAAGGTTTGGTCCGATATCCGTGGCCCCGCCCCGGCCCTTGTGGTCGCGATGGTGAGGATTGGGTGGAAGTTTTTAGACCCGTTCCGCTGGTTGACCCACAGGGGTCCCATCCTCATTGAGAAAATGTCACCGAGGGATGTTGGTCGGTTAGCTGATGAGGCTACCGGGCGCTGGATCTGGCAGCAGGTGATGGCGAAGCATGCGTCATGGGCCTCGCTGTGCCCGTATCCCCCCCCTCCTCGAGCCTCTGAGGGCCCTCGTCCTTCCTGCCTCGCTCAAAGGCCCCGTTTGGACCCCCAAGCATCAAGGGCTCCTCAAGTGCCTGTTTGCGGGCGGTTTTTGTTCTCAAGAGAGGTTATATGAAGCTGGTGGAGCTGTCAACCCGGAGTGCCTTGCGTGCAGGAACGTAGGCTCCACCTGGCATCGTTTTTTATGACTGTCCTGTGCGCGCCGAATATCGTCGGGATTTCGAGGCTGGGTTCGAGCTGGCCAGTCAGATGCTAGAGTTGGCTAAGAAGACTGCCGACCGCTCGCTGATTTGGACCCGTTTCCTTGTCCCTGATCCGTCCTGGCTGTTTCCGAGCCCTTGCCTCGAGGAGCGTGTGGTTTGGACCCTGCGTCCGCCCGATCTGCTGCTCGACGTGCACGTGTTCGGAGATGGCTCGGGTGTGCATGGGCAGTTTGGCCGCCTCAGGCGATGTGGGTGGGGGCTCTGCTCGCTTGACTCTCAGTTGAAAGAGGTTGCGAGAGCGCATGGTCCCCTGCCCAGTCTATGCCAGTCAGTGCCTGCAGCCGAGCTTTTCAGTTTCCTAATGGCTTTGCGATACATGGGAGTTCAGATGAAGTTCTTTACTGACTGCAAGAGCCTTGTAGACGTATGGCGCCAAGGGGCTGGTGCTGACACTGACGCCAACGACCCCATGGCCTACTTATGGAGGGAGGTTTGGAGGTTGGTTGCTGACCGTGGGGTGGAGGCGGTGGAGGTGACTCACGTTAAGGCACACTCGCCTGTCTCCGCCATCGCGGATGGTGTGATCACTGCTTGGCAGCGTTTCGGCAACGCTCAGGCTGACCAGTCAGCTAAGCGAGGTGCGGTGATGCATCCTGATGCTGAATGGGTGCGCGAAGCTCACCGTGCCTCGCGCAGTGCTGTCCAGCTGGTTGCCCAGTTTGGCACTCGTGTCTCGGCGAGGATAGGAGTGGTCACTCCGATCGATGCGCAGGCCCAGGCTTTAGGTATGGCCATTGGCACCATCGAGGGTGGTTTCGGCCCGCCTCGGCCGCGCTCGCGTTTTGATCCTGCCGTCACGTTTTGTGGCCGTCGCTATCGATGCATGGTGTGCCTCCGTTCGGCCAAAGGCCGTCTCTCGCTGCGGCAGCTCAAGTGCCAGGACCGAGCTGGCATGCATTCATTGCATCGCGCGGGGCCTGTTTTGTTCTTTTCCTTGTGCGGAGCCTACTCTGGAAAAAAAACGCAGCCAGGGGCCCTCGGACGAGTGCCTGGCCAGTCGTCGGAGGCTTGGCACGCAAGTCAAGGATTCTCGATATTATCGCCTTCAGAATTTGCTGAAGGGCTGCCACCCCAACAAATCGAGTTCGTTTCTGGGGCCTCCAATTTTGTTGCGGAAGAGGAGGCTCGCTGAGATGGCTAGCGTGCCGCCACCTCCCTCGCTCCCTCTGTCCTCTGGGGTTGGGAGTGGGTTGGACGTGGGGGTGGGGTGGTCGGGGCAGGAGCTTCTCTCGCCTCCTGTTTCCCAGGCTGTATCGGCCTTGTGGGAGGAATTTCAAGGCCTCCCGTTTGCCAGCGATTCGGATGACGACGACGACCTTTCCCGCGATCTGCGGAGCTGGGTCGAATAGCGTCTCCCTCGCTGGCCGCAGGGTTTTTAAACAGGCGAGTACGCGTGCGGCTGGTCTTTGTCAGTGCAAAAAGTGCAGCGTTTCGTGGCTCTATAGGGAGCTCCACCGAAGGCACCAGTGGCGATGTGCGCATGCTTTTCCCCAGTCAGTACACCGCTTCGTGGCCCCATGGGGAGCCCCACCGAAGGCCCCAGTGGCGGTGTTCGCATGCGTTTCTCCCTCCCAGTACAGCGCTTCTTGGCCCCATGGGGAGTTCCACCGAGGGCGTCAGTGGCGGTGCTCGTACGCGTTCCCCCCTAGTAAAGCGCTTCGTGGCCCCATCGGGAGTTCCACCGGAGGCCCCAGTGGCGGTGTTCGCATGCGTTTGTCCCGCCCAGTACAGCGGTTCGTGGCCCCATGGGGAGGTCCACCGAGGGCATCAGTGGCGGTTTTCGCATGCGTTTCCCCCACCCAGTGCAGCGTTGCGTGGTTCTTTCGGGAACTCGAAGACGTGGCCCGAAAAAACTTCTTTCATACTAATGTTGGGGTCCCGTCGCCAACAGTTCAAATGTTCTGGGCCAGTTTCAGGAGGAATGTTGACGTCTAAATTTGGCTCCGTCTGGAACCCGGTCACGGTAATGATCTTTTAGCTTGTCCAACTTGTTTGCGCCAAACATCTTGTCGCGTTCGGGCTTCGAAAGCGGGCAGCCGAACACGCGATGTTGGATGCAGTTGGTGTGGGTGTGTGCCGCACAAGCATTCACAATTGGTGCCGTAGCCTGTATAGCGTCCGCGAGCCTTGATTCAACACTGCGTTGGATTAATTCGCAGACGTCCTTTATCTTGCCTTGGTCAGGTGAGGTACCGGGAGTACAGCGTTCGCAACACCAGCGTCGATTTTCGAGCCTGCATGTCCGAGCTTGGCCGCGGCTTGCTCATTCAACATAGCCTCCCAAACTAACTTCCTTTGGCGCTGGGTGAAAGCTTGCGAACAACTGATAAAAAAAAAGGGTAGCGCTGCTCATTTCGGGCTTCGGAAACAACTGGGGAGCCATATTCTAACCTTTCCGTTTGAGGGAAAGGCCATGGCCCCGACGGGGCCTCGAACCCCAGCCCAGCGCTTCGGGGTGGAGCCCATGAGGCCCCTGGCTTTCAGCGCTCAAAGCGAAACCAGGGCCTGGGTCGCATTGGTGGCGGCCGTCCGCACAAACAAGCGCCACAACTAGTCTGGGCCCACTGCTGCTTTCCAGGTCAGGAGGATGAGGAGGAGGAGGAGGAGGAGAAGGAGGAGGAGGACAAGGAGGAGGAGGAAGAGGAGGTGGAGGAGGAGGAGGAGGAAGAGGAGGAGGAGGAGGAGGAGGAGGAGGAGGAGGAGGAAAAGGAGGAGGAGGAGGAGGAGGAGTCGAGGGAAAGTAAAAGGATGATGAGAAAGACGACGACGACCTCGACGACGATGAAGAGGAGGGAAAGGCCGACATACCTCCAACAGGCCCGACGGGGGCCACAAAACGGTTCCAGGTGCTCTCGGAGCCCCCTCGGGACCACCCAAAGAAGCCAAAATCCGTGAACAACCTAGTGAAAATCAATGATGCGTTACTTCTCGCTATTTCGTTTCTGATGCGCTTTTGTGGCCCCCCAAAATGGCCCAAGAGAGGCCCGAGAGGGGCCCAAGAGGTCCCCCAGACGGCCCCAAGAGCGCCCAAGAGTGGACCAAGAGCGCCCCAAGAGGGCACCAAGATGCGATTGCGATGTCCCCAGGGGGGAGGAACATTTGGGACCCCCGCTTTTGATCGATGGCCTCCAAGATGACCCCAAGAGGCCCTCCAGGGCTCCCAAGAGGCCCCCAAGAGGGCTCCAAGCGGGCCCCAAGTGGGCCCCAAGAGGGCCCCAAGACCTCCAAAAGAGCCCCAAGAGGACTCCAAGATCCCCCAAAAGAGTCCCAAGAGGGCTCCAAGAGGCGACTTTGAGGGCTCGTCCTCGTCCTTGTTGTCCTGCTCCTCCTCCTCCTCCTCCTTCTCGTCGTCGGTCTTGCCCTCTTGTAGAATCGGAGGCCCTCTTGGAGCCATCTTGGGCGAAAAAGAAAACTGTACCACCTCGTGGCACGCCCCCAAGAAACCCAGGGAGGAGAGGGGGAAGGGGGAGTGTACCCCTCCCCGACGGGAAGATGGCTTTGGAAAAGGAAAGAAAGAACTCGTTAGACCACCTTAGCCCGAAGGGCTGATGGGATTCAATGACTTGCGCTTGAACCTACTTCTTCCCACCGACGTGCATAGCTCCAGGCCGCCTGATGGGATCGGAGGATCGCGCTGCATCGCCGACGCATCGGCGATGCAGTACGACAAGGAGCCTGCTGTTCCCCATATCCCGTTGTCGCAGATACATCGGCGATGCGATGCGATGCAAACCTCTGTCTCACCTGCCCCGGCCTCATTTGGGCGGCCTCTAATGTTTCCTTTCCCTGCCTTGAAAGGCCTCTGGCAAAAACCCCGCGACGCCGTCGTCGTTGTCGCCGTCGGCATCGTTGTTGTCCTAATCGCTGTAGTCTTGATCGCCGTCGTCGTCGTCGTTGTCGTCGTCGTCGTCGTCGTCGTCGTCCTGATCGTCGTCGTCGTCGTCGTCGTCCTGATCGATGTCGTCGTCGTCGCCGTCGCCGTCGTCGTCGCCGTCGTCGTCGTCGTCGTCGCCGTAGTCGTCGTCGTCGTCGTGGTCGTCGTGGTCGTGATCGTCGTCGCCGTCGCCGTCGGCGGCGGCGGCGGCGTCGCTCCTGTCGCTGGCCGGCACCCGCGCGGGGCCGCCCTCGAGGAGCGTGCCCACGCGCCGGCGGCGCCAGCGGCGGGGCCGAGCCTCACCGTCGTGGGCGCCTCGGGCCTCCGCGCCGCGGACAGCAACGGCAGCTCCGACCCGTACTGCACCTGCAAGCTGCAGGGCCCGCCGCGCGCTCCCCCGGGGCTCCCAGGGCCCCCTCGCGCTGCGACAGGCTCGCGGCGGGAGGTTTTTGGCTGCTTTCGGCCTCGGGGGGCCATTTCCAGGGCCTCGGGGCCGTCAAATCATGACACTCAGAAGGAGGGGCCGGTCCCGGGGAATGGGTCCTGGGGGTCGCGTCGTGAAGAAATCGTGGCGTTTGGGGTCTGGGTCGGATGCACCTCCTGGGAGGTCAGATTCTGACTTGGTGCCCTGGTCCGACGTCCGGCTTCATCCCGCCTGCTCCAGCCTAATATCCCGTTCCATCCGGTTTCATCCCGCAAATTCCTCGGCCTGATCCGGCGCAACAGCCCCCCCAATGGGACTTACATTGGGGGCCCATGCCAAGAAGCACCCTGTTTGCCTCCAGGGTGCCCTGGGTTTCTTGGGTCTTGATGGCCCTTTGGTGTCGCCATGGTGTTGCCGTGGTGTCGCCTTGGCGTCGCCTTGGTGTCCGTTGGCGTCGCCGTGGCGGCTGCGCGCGCAGGCGCGTTGCTGGTTGGTTGGCTGGTCGCCGCCGAAGCCCACAGCGCGGGCCAACGCAAGCTCAGATGTCTACTACTACTACTACTACTACTACTACTACTACTACTACTACTACTACCACTACTACTACTACTACTACTACTACTGCTACTGCTACTGCTACTGCTACTGCTACTACTACTACTACTACTACTGCTACTGCTACTACTACTACTACTACTACTACTACTACTACTACTA